AGGTCTGGTCGAATGGAAGGTGCACGACATACATACGAAGGATGATTGCCACTGCATTTTTTACATTTGTGCTGATAAAAACAACCTGGTTTGTTACAAAAGCCTTTTGTATTGTAATCAAAACATATATTTTGGGTATACTGTGGTACAAAAGCATTATGATTTGCTGTCATTGTAATGAGCCAAAGCTCAGCATCAATTACTGACCAAGGCGTCCCCGGGTGTTGCGCAATATTTCTTCTAAACATTTTATCATATTGTGCCCAACCAGATGGGTTCCTTTTAGCAGCTAAACGTATTGTATTTAAGTACTGCAATAAATGTTTAGCTAATAATGGACTTTTTGTAACCATAATATGTATATAAATCAAAAAGGCATCAGTCCACCTTTCGATATTTAAAACTGTATTTTTCTTAATGGCATTAGATATCACCAACTCGCCATTCACTAATTTGATGGATTGTTGTCCATCTTCTTCTTTTTGCAAGAGAATAGATAAATCAATGAATTCCCCCTGCCATATTTGTTCTTTAAGTTTTTTGGGAATGTGAAGTGACAAATCATTACAAACAGAATTGAAAGGCGAGTTAGTATTACTTATTGAATTATTATTAAAACTATTACCCGATATAGCAGTCTGGTCAGCTGATGCGGTCTGAGCCTGTGGTTGCCACAAGGTATGTTGTTGTATTGGATTACCACCTGGACAATATGTAGGTGCTATCTGAGCCTGGGGATAGGTGTAGATTCCATCTTGGCATACTGGACCATAATTAACATGTGTTGTCTGTGTGAGGTTGTGGATGATAATAACCTGTTGTGTCCAGGCACTGAGTTGTGCCAATATTTTGATCATAACCAAGGTTATATTGGTATCCATAGTCCCTTGTAGAAGTGCCCAAATACGGAGATGTGATACAGTGCACATTGGGTGTTATACCCTGGTTATCAACACCTGTGAATGAAGGACCACCCGAGAATGAACTACATGTTCCATGTTGTTGTTCTGTAGAACAAGACATGTTCTGACTGGTGACTGGATTTGTTTCCGATGGCAATGTCTGATTTTGTATAGTGCTATTTAGAGGACTGTCTGTGACCATAGAGCACTGTACACCGAAAGAATTCTGCTGTATACCTGCTGTATTACTATTAGATCTAATACGTTTTGCCCTCTTCTGGTTGACTTGAGTCGCCAATAGTGCTCTTTTCCGTGGCATTTTTCAGTCAAATGCAAAACCATTCAGAATGATATATGAAAAGTAAAAAGATAGACTGTAAATTTACACCAAAAAACAGCAAATTCATCTTAGAACTATATCGTATTTGGTTTATGCAAGTCTGAATCTATTTTATATAAACTTCAGTACTGTATAAATGTTTTCAGCTATAAAAATTGTATGCGCCTTTTCGTATACTAATTGCCAATGCGATAACATACGGGCTGAAAATTACCAGGTCCGAAAACCCTGCCAGCAAACCTGCTTCACGCTCATTCTCAATAAAACACAGCACTTGATGTTCCACTTGGTAGCTCTTATACGAAGGTTTTTTCCTGAGGTCAAAATGTCGTTAGAAAGGTGGCTGCCACTTTGTCTAATAGGGACACTCTCAGTTTTACATTTCTATCTGTTATTTTTCTTTTACAAGTACCATTAATGCCCTAAAATGTAACATACGTTACTGTCGCCACCTAGAATTTTCAAACTTTGAAATTGTGTCTCAGAAAAATAAGTTCCAGAATAAACGAAACATGTGCAATTAGTCATTGCGGTGTGTATATGAACTTTGATTATTGGTAAAAATTATATTTGACTTTTAAAATCTCATTGATATAATGTATGATCAAATGTCGCCAAAAGCATATAAATAAATAGTGACAAACCTTAAACAATATTAAGTGGAACCAAAATTACATAATTGAATCGATGCATGCTTAATAATACAGCATATATATAATTATAAGTAAAAATAAGCTTGCAGCCTCTCAAATATCATTATATTTTCGGAAATTTTCATTTTTTATTCAAATCTTTTCAACAGCATTTTAAAAAGAAACATACGTTACCATTATTTAAGAGCCAAGCCATTTAAAGAAGAATCCAAACAAGAAAGAAAATTAACATGTGTGTAACTCTGATATATTAACCGCAAATTATGGCGGGTTAAACGGTCTTGCGTCATTTTTTAACCCACTTTCAATTTTAAAAATGAAACATACGTTAAACTTACAGAAACAAACGTTATCAACTTTTTAAAGTAAGTTTATAAAAAGGGGGATTGAAGCCAGAAAGCACGTATAACTGTTTTAACAGCAACATTAACTTCTATTTGACATTAGTAAGTAAATTTTGATAACATTGGTCGAGTTTTAACTTGTTTAAGTAACCACAGTGAAACAAACGTTACTTTTATCAAACAGACTTTACATTGTATATTGTTTACACATGCATATATAAAAACATAAAATCGCATTTTTATGACAATAGAATGATGTACATTTGATTCCTAAATAAAACAGTCGATTTTACATGTAAGTTTCAATTCCGTGATTAAGTTCATAAATAAGCGAGTGTGAAACATACGTTACTCCAACTTACAATTCGACAATTTTTGAAAATTAAGGATAAAGTTGGGATTATCATGCCCGTTAGTAACGGTTACCTTGTATTAGATGTAAGAAGATACAAAATTGTTTTACAAAGGAAAGATATGTTAATAATATGTTGATGTACCAGCAGAAAGGTTAAAAATATTTTACAAGATATTGATGTTCTCAGCAACAACTAATTCGTTTCTGCAAAGAGCTTACTGGCCGTATTTCGTTCTATATATAATAATTTTAAAATAATATCCATAAATATACATTATTTTACAAAAAATAAAATTGTTTTCTCAACCTTTACTTGCATTTGAATAAAATGAAACATACGTGACATCCTATATAGGGATAAATATAGAACTGCTGAGCAATAAATTTTCCAAATATTAAGAAAGTTAAAAGTTGAATGTTTTGAAAAAAAATTGCTAATACAACATTTGTGAATGCATTCGACCTCTCATATATTATATATAATATATATGATATCCTTTGAATGAAGACATAAAATAATCATTTCCAAAATTGACTATTTTTGCTTTCTACGAATATTTAACTTTGAAGAAATTAACTGAAAATTAGCAAGGTACCCAACTTCCTTGAATTTTCCTGGGTTAGAAAGTCCCTCTAGATAGAGAATTTACAGATTTTGATATATTTTAAAGACATTTGTTGTTAATATGCAGCCAATATGTTACATTATTAGATCTGAAATCTACGTTACCGAAGAAATACAGTGTCATTACCGAAATAAATGCCATCCTGTTATATCATAGTTTCTTGTTCAAAATATTTCTGGCAAACTTGCAAAATACCCTAAACTTTTACCTCGGCGATAAAAAAAATGACACAATGACAACATCAAATTTTTAATATTTTTCAACCTCAAATGCTTTATTTTATTGAGAATGGGCGTTCAGCATCACTTTAACTTTCTTTGACCTATAGACCATAAGACAAGCTGGAATAATCTCAAATTGTTTGTCCAGCTCTATAAATATTTCATTATACTTACATCCATTTAATAGATTTTATAAAAGCCTTAAGCGTGTCTATTTTTTCAGTCAACATTCATTTAGATCTACCTCCATTGCTAAGCACGAGGCCAAATTTCTTTATTTCTAATGTAGATCTTACATTCCAGCTAAATCTGATGAACTATCTTTTTTCCTGACAAAGCACAAAACATTTTTATCTAAAGAAAGTAAATTTAGCTTCTTTTTTACAGAAATTTAAAACAAATTGAAATAGAAATAAAAATAAAATATTTTTCTCCAACCTTTCTCTTCTATGTCCAAACGAAAAAGAACCCCGTTCTCAGCTTTTGGCTACGCTATGACGAAATTCATAATGACGTCACAAGTACCATGCGGCCACCATGTGCGTAATTGAAATAAGGTCTGAAGATTTGTCGCCCTTGGTGATAACTACTATCATTTAAAGACACGCTTGAAATGACAGGAAATTTAGCAGGGTTATACATTATGCAACGTTTTGAAAGATCGTTCCCAATTTAAAAAGAAAAAAATATTTGGCTCCTTTGACAATTGTGGCAGCCATTTTGTGCCTATCCCTTGACAAATGTGGCGGCCATTTTGGGCGTTATCATATTAACAAAATATCACTATTACCGTTGATTTAGGTAAATTGTCAATTTCTTTTACATATGTAAAGAGACATACTTACACAGGACTAATATATAAAACCTGGTTAGCAGCTTTCTTGAAAATGAATTTTGAGGATCTTTACTCGTATTTTGATGTCTCTATTGGCAGCTAACGATATATGGAGAAGTTACAAGGGGAGGTAATTACACTAAAATAAATGATAATATGAAAGATCGCCTTGCGTGCTAAGGTCTATCGGCACGCGACTCTGTGAATGTGTAACTTAAGTTAGAGGGTAATGTTTAATGAATATCAAAACTGAAGAATTACAATTAGTAGGCTTCTATAGCACAAAACCATTGAACAGACACCATGTGAGCTAAAATATGTCATGTCCGGCCTCTGATGACCTTTTGTCACGGGCTAGCGTTCAGTGTCTTGTATTGCCTTCAATGAAATGTCTCGCTTTCTAATGAGCGCTTCAACATATGCTCATTTAGAGTCTGAGACCTAGCTCCGAAAATTGGGTATTTTAGAAGAAAATACTACGGGGTCTTTACACTTTTGCCGCCATTGCCGTAAAGGGCAGTCTCCAAGATTCCCATGCAATGGACTTAATTCCATTGTTTTTCGGGCATCTGACTCCTCGAAATGCCTTAAAGATGTGGTCATATATCGCAAATCACAGTCTTTTGCTTTAAAAAAATTAAAAACTAAATTGCCACATCTACCTCTGTTTGCCAATGAGTCAATAAAATAATCTGACAAAAACATCATCAACAAAAATATATATAATTTTTAATGCTTCAAATATCCCTTGAGTAAATAAGATATATATAATACGGTCTGACAAATATGTTACATTAACGGTACATGTAAAACAATGATTCTTACAAATGTTGAGATCAATACGTTTTGTAGACAATGCATTTTTATTACATACATGTAAAAATAGTTCAACGCAAACAAATGTATGCGTACTTATATTATATAAAAAGATAGTCCGGCCTCAGACAACACTATCTCACAAAGAGAAATAACAGTGTAACCTCTGCATAGCGACCCTCTGTAGACCAATAACCTCTTTACAACAACTGTTTCATTTTTTCCCCAAAGCCCTCTCCAGCATAAAGTCACCAAGCAATATTCAAAATCTAAGTCTCTGAAAGGCATTTGCTTTAAAGAAACTGTACAGAACAAAATAAAGTAACATTATTATTAGTTGTAAGAGTAAATACATTTTACAATACTTTTACAAAACAGTATCTTCTTAATATAATACAATGCCAAAAATTGATTATTTATTTATTTTATTGGGTTAATTGAAACTGTTGAAGTTATTAACCATAACTATCGAGTATCAAGACAAAAATATGAATAAACGTTAAATAATGCCTAAACGAGAACGTATTCCTCTTTTTTGGACACGCTTTACTATACTGCTATCGACCTCGTGAATTTCCTATTCATTTGTTTGTTCCGAGTTTAGCACATTTGATACAGAAGTTCATGTACTCTTGTTTAAATTTACATAGGTTACCAGTTATATATTGTCCAGTATGCAGAAATCACCGCCACCTAGTTTTTATATAAAGCAACTGTCAACGTTTACCATGAAATCTTGACAAATTAAGTCTAATCTGTTAAATAGCTCCTTGCTTTCACACTGGACAATTTAAATCTGAGTTGGCTACACAAAGCCTTCATTTAAAGGCCCAATGTGTCTAACCGTCATTGCACGTCCCGCACTTGCAGCTGTCTATAAATTTCGAGTATATCCTTCATTTCCGGTTGACAGGATGTCAGGTAGTAGCTATACTGTACCTACGCCTCTGACCTCTACCATGTTCTTTAACAGATGCCAACATAGGATTGTGTAGAATTCCAGAGCTACGTTTCTGATTTAATCGGTTTCCCATTGGAGAAACAGTTGCCATTGTCGACCGTAAATCGTCGATCATTATTTCGTCGTCTGCGTCCATTGTGTCATCTGATATTTCTGTAAAGTAAATAATGGTTTTGTTCAGTTTATAGTTGATATGTTTTTTAAAGACTTAGCTATACTTAGTTTAGCAAATCAATGGCAAGAACTGTGAAAATTAAATTTTGATAAAATTCAGCAGCAAAAAAGTTGTAAGAAATAAATCATACTAATCTTATAAAATAAAAACCATATTATTATAACAAGAAATTATTCAAATATGAAGGAACAATTGTATTTCATATCAATTGTTGCATGATATGAAAATGCATATAACTTTCACAGAAATAAAAGGTGTTGAGATTTGTTTTATACAATTTTAAAAAGTCTTTTAGAAAAAAAAAGATTTAGTTTTGTTAAATAGAAGAAAATATGTATCACATATAATTTACTTTTCTCTGGAGGTTTATAATTGCTCCGAATGTCTGGTTCACTTCCGCCGGAATATAATCCCATAATTCCTAAATGAGGAGAGGTCACTCTAGCAAGAAGTTTCTCTAACTCGATAGCATTGTCTGTACATGGAAACTCATGAACTCCATGCAAAACTAACAGCATTTGACGTATAGGTGGTGGTACTGGCTCGGAGTTTGTAAGTTTTGACAAAGCGTCTGCAAAATATGTATTTGATTATGATCTCATTTTAACTTTCAATGAACTGCTCAAAATTCAAAGCAGGGAACTTTATTACACAAATGCAGACGGTCAACGTTAATTTTGTTACATCTTATCAAACTGTACTTTACTTGCCGTACATTATTATTATATCTTTGAAGGAATCAAAATCTTCAAAATAATTACCTTTCACCGGTAACTTCAATAAAACAGTGTCACGGAACTCTAGCAAGGCAATGTGCCGTATTGTCAATGATTTAGTCTGAAAATAAAATGAATTATCTATTCATTTTTTATTGTTTTATGGCCACTTGTGTAAAAACATTGACTTTTCTTATCTACCATAAACGCTACCATAAGAGGACAAAGTTTCCATAGCGTGACTCGAACAGACAGCGGGGAAGGTCATTTTAATCGAAGGAGGGCCTCAGTCATAAGAATGTCGACAGCATAATTGAGTCGTGTCATGACAAAACCAACATAATGGGTTTGCGCCCAGCATAGATCCAGACAAGCCTGCGCATCCGCGCAGTCTGATCAGGATCCATGCTGTTCGCTATCAGTTTCTCTACTTGTAAAAGGGTTGATAAGCGAACAGCATGGATCCTTATCAGACTGCGCAGATGCGCAGACTGGTCTGGATCCATACTGGTCGCAAACCCACTATGTTGGTTTTGTCGTGACGCGGCTCATATGTGTTTTTCTAAATTTAAGTTCTTGTTATCTATACAAGCCATTTCATTTGGTTTTTGGAACAAGTACTAAACTATATGATGTCTTCTTTAAGTAGTGTTTCGATATCAAAGAAGCAACCAAGCAACCACTCGATCGAACGTCAATCAATTATTCAACCAATCAATGTAGTCAACCAACCTGACAGCAAAACATTATTTCAGTTGCTTTAGTATGAAGACTGGTCTATTTCACACCCTACTGTCGCGAAAGTATAAAAAGATATTAAACAAGAAATAATAAGGAAAAACGCTTCACCTTATCATTCAAGAGTTACATTTCATCGTTTGTTTGTTGTTGTTTTTTTTTTAAATAATTTTAACGTTCGTGTCAGACTGGATTGTAATATGTTTACATAAGTGCTCGATTATTTTATCTCTATGGCGTAAACTGGGTTGACACTATTTTATAGTTAAGATTATAACATATGAACGTATTAACCTACTTGTGCAGGATATAACAGTGCTTGTAACACTGGTAAAATTTCTCTGTAAAAATAGTTCCATTCTTCTCCTAAATGCGCCAATAGTGAATGTGCTAAAATATACAATATATTGCAGTTTAGTTATTTATATCATCATTGGTCGCGTGAACAGCAAAACCACAATAACAACAACAACAACAACAACATTAACAACAAAAACAATCACAAATTTGATTAAATCAATCGCATGACATTTACCAGTACAAATTAATATGCACCTCATTGCTTTGTTTCGTTTTAACATCATCACGTGTATGGAATATAGATTATATTATTTAATATTTATTTTAATTTATGACTGCCGTATATCAACAAGGACAAGAATATTTGTTTGTTTGTTTGATTGGGTTTTACGTCACATCGACACAGTTTAGGTCATAGACCTCATGTGCCCTTCCGTGCATTATTTCAGGCACGAAAGGGCACCTGAATAGAACCACCGACGATCCGTAAGCTAGCTGGATAGCTTCCTCATATGAAAGAATTCAAAGTCCTTGTCGGGATTCGAACCTACAACGGTGAGGTGTAAGTGAGGACAGGAATACAAATTGATATAAAGCATTGTATTGTTTCGTGAAATTTATGAACTTCCCGTACAATAGTACGTTTTCAACAGTAAAAAAATTCAAAACAGAAAAAAACAACAACAAAAACAAAACAGGATAACCTTGTTGACACGTTCTTAAAATTTCCTAAAGAAGGTAATGTTGCACGCTTTCTTCTAATAAATTCATGATTTATAATATAGAATCAATGACGGATTAACACGGGATCAATTTCAAATGGCCGTGTTATCTTAAACATAATAAAAGAGATATATTAAGTCGAAGATGATAATTTTTAGTGTTTAAATTTTCGTTCAAACATTTACCCGATTCGTGTTTTATCTTTTCTCGTATTAAAATCATTCCCTTCTTTATCAGTCTGTCCTGAAAGTAAAAACATAATAAATACGTGTGACGTAAGTTCTGTATCTAAAAACAACCAAATTCCATATCCAATGTGACAATATATAAACCCATTATGTTTCATATTTGACAATACAAAAAATCTGTCAAAATGTTTTTAATGAGTTTAACGACAGACATCAGTATTTATCCAAGAGCTTATGATCAGATTCCACGTGGCCTTCACACCAAAGAGCAATGCTTCTATTTCGAGAAATTAAATTTAATTGTTTTCTAATTTGAGTTAGAAGGCGTGATACATAATTCTTTATACAGGGAGCCACTTTCCTCTCTTCAATGTAAATAAAAATTGCCCAAATAAAGTAGGATATACTGATGCCATTCAAAATATACTAGAATTACAATTAAGAAAAAAACACAGTCAAAGCTATCGGTTAAGCCACTAATTGTAAGAGACACATTTAGTATTGAAACATTAATAAGAACATGTAGTTTTGTGATTTTATAAGTAACTTCTATAATAAACCTACCTTATAGTAGTCGTAGATTGACGGCCCATCTGATCTTGTAATATTCCTGTAATAAAATAAGATATTTTCAAGAAATGGACATCATCTTTACACTATATTCAGTTCTTTCATATCTTTGAGAAGTACATAATCCAAGTCAATCAAGGTAAGTCAAGGTAAAGTAACAATTACGTATGTTGTAGTCCCTTCTCAAACAGAGTACAATGCCGTAAACCTTTTTGTCATGAAAATGCTTAAAAATGCTCGTTTTAAGCGTAAAATGCTCCTATGAAATGCTAGTTAACTATTAACCTTTTGAATGTCTTCAATAGAATTTTTCAGTCTGTCCCTTTAATATCAATGTTGGTCTGGTCAGACTGCGCAAATGTGCAGATTATATCAGTGCAGATTGGCGGCAAAAAGCTATTCGCTTCCTGTTCGCAGATTGATGGCAAAAGCTATTAACTTCCGGTCCAAGCAAGATAGAATATAAGAGTTATATCCAGGACACAATGTTTTATTCTTACCTGACAGCTTCTTGTAGTATTGTAAGTTCATTTTCTTGTAACTTGGTCCTTTGAAATAATTGAACAATAGCTCCCGCTACACTGCAATAAAGTTTGATTTGTTAGGTTAAATATAATGTTGATAATTTGACGTTTCGGCTAAGTTAGTATTCGAACTGACTTACATAAACAACAAATTGTGAGTTTTAAGCGTTACTGGCTGAGGAAGACTTCGGGTAGTTAGATGCACGTTGTGACATGGCTTATTTACACTAAACATTCATTCAACCTATGATTTTATTGACGAATTGGTGAAAATAATACATCAACTTAAATGATTTATATGCGAGAAAAGAACACATGTGAACAATATATTCAGATCTGTAACTGTAAACAAATTATTTAACGGACACCATGAACTTGTATAACCGAAACAAACATAAATGCAAAATAACATCATATAAATTTCAGATAAGAGGTTTTAAACACTTGTACATGTATATTGAAGTAAATCTCTTAATAATAATATGATCAGTCAGTTTCCTACAATTTTTTCCATTTATCAACAGCATGATATACATTGTTATCAGTTTACCGTAGAAATATTAATTACGAAAATTTGCTAATCGATAATGTATTCACTAGCAATAAGTTAGATGAACAGTTTTGGTGTTGACCTTATTATCTTGTAGGACTTCAAACAATTAGCAAATGCCCTACTTAGCACGGATCTGTAGAAAACCTTAGTGTTGAAAAATGACCTAGTTATTTTGACAAATCGATATCTTCCGCAAAATGAAACGCTAATTACATCCGCAAAATGTTCTGACCTGGTTCATTTATTAGAATTTGTTCACAGTTCTTCTTAAAATCGACATACTTGGTTCTGTGCTCGCTATCGGAAAGTTTCGGCTCTTTCCGTCAAACTTCGGATGACAATTATGAATTTAACCTTGGCGGGTTTGCTTGAAGTTATTGGACCATTTTATTCACCATTATTGCCGTGTTTAAGTCGAATTATATATGTAAATCAAAATGTAAGTGTAAATTAAACATTGAATGATTATCTTTATTTATAGTCCGGAAATATAAATAATATAGCTGTTCACACAGGGTTCAGATTTGATTTAAATCGATTGCAAGCGGTATTCTAAAATGTGAATAGGACTCCGATTAAAAAAATATCTTTGAAGTAACAATTTATCAAAATACATCTTATTTTCGTCAGCTTATTCAATTACTCCCCATGTTACATATAAAGCAAATTATACAAACGTTTTGTTTACCCCAAAAAGTCATACAGTAAAACTACATGTACATTTTGTTGTTTCTGAGATAATTATTGGTTGTCGAGGAGGTTTTCCGAATGCTGCATTTACTGTCAGATTAAAGACAATAACACCGAAAAAAAACTGAAAAGATTCGAAAAATGATAAAGGCCACATTATCCTTTGGTGATAATAATAATGTGGTTTTTTTTACCTAATCGTTCCTTAGCATTTATTTGTAGCCGCCAGCGATTGTTTTCTATACTTTATATCACTTCAGTCATCAGGCAATGGCATACTTCAACCTGACTAAAATTTAGATCTATTTAAGTTATTTCTTGCATGTAGCGTAAATTGAGAGCTGATTTTCAGATTGGGCATACTTCAGCCTTTGATTTGGCGAGGTATGATGAATCGATATCGACCTTTAACACCTATAGACGTTGTCTCTTACCTTGCAAACTCGGCATTTTTCAGTGGTATTTCTGATGATTTGCCGGGAGAGAATAAATGCCGTCCGAGACCGCCCAAGGAATCCCGGTGAATATGGCTCCGGATAGCCTCACTGATGTTAGATATGCTATGTCTGTAATAAAATTTTTAGATTTAAAAATTTGAATTAAGAAGTATTTAGTTAATCTTTAGATTGTAGTCCTAATCACCGAATGTAAAATATTTGGTCATCAAAGAAGTAAAATATAAGCAAAGTAGTATTCTGACTTCCATACAAAAAACTATACTACAACTGCACAAAAGCAACATAAGAGAAAGATGGCTCATGTGTTTGGCCAATGACTATCTTTTTGGAGAACAGGGTAAGAAAAATAAAAAAGATTTAAATTTGAGAATAAAAATAAATGCATATTTGGGCACAATGGGCCGTAGCAGTCGTATGGAGATTTAGTCTGCATTATTTAAAGAATAACATGTAAAAAGTCCAATATGATTGGTAAAAAGTCCAATATGATTGATATTCTTTATATATGCCAAAATGAGTCTACACAATAAAACTGAATTAATGAAAATGTGTTAAAAGGCGGCCTTTCTTTCATGTATTAAAAGGTTATTATACATTGTTGAGTACAGTACTGAATTCTGCTGTACAAGGTCCCAGCTTTAAAAACTTATAATGAACGAGTCCAATATTTGTTGTACAGCTGTTTACGAGTTCAATACTATTCGCAATATACTTAACAATTTATCATGACCTCTTTCCCAATATTTAAACAGAACTTTGGAACTTTGATAATTACGATATATATATATATATATATATATATATATATATATATATATATATATATATATATATATATATATATATATATATATATATATATATATATATATATATATATATATATATATATATATATATATATATATATGTGTGTGTGTGTGTGGTATGTTTTTGTTTGTATTAATAGTTTTGGTTGCTTGCTTGATTGGTTTATCAATTTTGAAACACTGACTTTTTATATGTGAGATCAAATTAAATTTTGGGGCGTTTGTGACCGATTGGCTAAGGTTGTTCACTTCAAACCATTTGCCCCTCACCACAGTGTGCTCGAATCCCGTAAGGGATTCTATGGATGCTTTTTGTGAGTGTGCTATCCATCTACATTACGGAACGTCGGTGGTTCTACTCAGGTGCCCGTTCGTATCTGAAATAATGCACATGAGTTCTTCCTCAACCAGTTAAGCTGGAAAGTCGCCATATGACTGTGTTGGTGCGACGTAAAACCACCCCTAGAAAGAAATAACTGAGGACTAGAAGTTATTTTTGCTTTCGGTTTTAAGCAACTTCTAAACGCAGTCAAGATATTTTGTCCTATATGAACACAAATAAATATCCATACATGATAAGGTAAAAATTAGCCAAGCTGTAATTAAACTTAAAATATGTATTCAGTCCTTCGCAAACTAATTAAATAGGTCACATCGTAAATTTGATCGATATGCGTTCTCGGTAAAAATCACTTATCATGTCAAATAAAACTTACAGATGAACGTTAACAATGAATCCTTAGGTGTTTTTTCCCAAATTCTATAGACATATTAACATTTAAATGGTGTTACATATAAAGGCATATTTTAGCTCGATTGCGATGAAAATTTGAAGCTTTTTAAACACTTTAAAATTCGCTTGAGGAAACTAACTAATACTGTTGTCTTAGAAAGAAACATGGTCATTACCCCTCTAGAATTCAAACCCACGATCCCTGTGTATAGAGGCAGACGCATAGGCAACCACGTACTTGTCCATTTGCATTTTCACAATGACAGCGTTCTTGCAAATCTCTGGACAACGTTTTATTCTAGCGTGATCAAATATTACTCAGCCTTGTATGATAATTCGGCTGCTTTATATTCATTAATTCTTAATGAACGATGTATGCAGACAAATATACGATATTTTAAGGTCAACTTATATATTCTTCAGCCGCCGTTTGTGTGGCTTTATTCACCAAATTAGTAACACAATGGTAGTAAATATTGTTTCATCTCCTATAAAACTGTCGAAGGTTTGTTTTTACAATGAGCAATAAACGAAACTGAAGAAGTCACTTCAGACAGACTGTGTTTTGCAGGATTATGAAAAAAATGCATTCGGAACATCTTGTCCTTTGTCCTTTGCCCAAAATACGACAAGGTAACCAAAGCAAAAATACGACAAAGTAACCAGAGCAAAATACGACAAAGAGGTCACATTGACTTAATTTCGTGTTTATGCCTGGCAACGTCGGGGCGAAAGTACGACAAATTGATCACTTTGTCGTATTTGAAAGAAAGGACAATATATGACCATGTATATCCATATTAAGTCAATCAACGTTGTTTATTTCAACCAAATATATGTATTAGAGGGTGGGTCGTAATCACCGTCTTCACATGTATCTATCTATACAGCGTAACATCTGATAGTTCGTTTTACATACCGGTATTTCATATAATGAAAATTGGGGGAAATATTTCATTAATATTTAAGATATAATTAAATACGTTGTGACATTTTTGACATTTTTGGTATTAAGTTACTTTGACCTCATTAATATCTCACACTTGCGGTTCAATTCCCAACCAAGATCCATACCTGCTAACAGCTGCTTATCCTTTGGCACGAACGAGCATTGTGGATAGAACCACTAACAATTTCTTTAAAATAACGAGCCTAAATTTAAAAATGTACAGTTTCAAAAGATAATTGAAATTTATGTAATACACGTTTATTTTTTTTCGATAGACAGTGTAATAAAAGTGTCAACCTTACCTTTTAAGCGTCCTTACTCCATTTTGTAAAATATCCATTTTATTTTATTCACAAGGCACAGGAATAATTGTTTCTCTACTTCTTCGTCAGGAAGTCATTTCAACAAGTCTATATACCAGGCGCGTAATTAACCGGGCGGAATGTGGTCAGAGAGTGACAGAAATAGGCTCGTCCTCCTGAAATAAGTTATAAACCATTCAATAGAAATCTTTGTTTAGCGAACTTCGCTGCTTTATTTATAATACATTTTATTACAAACATGACATTCCTTTTACGATATTAAACAATGCTTTGACAGTAATTTCGCTGTTTTTACCTTGATATTTTCCGTGCCTTTTCTTTAAATGTTATATAATGCCTGCAGCTAGTGCGTGTAAAATACAGGCTACAGTATAACTGTATAGATATAAAGTAAATGAAAAAATTATATATCGTTTACGTTCGCGGTATATTGTAAAACATATTAAAGTAAACTTAAGTAGGGCAGAAAGTCACTAATATATTCAATAAACTTATGACATTTTTGTAACGGCTCGCGGTAGTTAAAACAGTATTTAAATTTGATACGTGTTAAATATGTGATTAAATTGCAATTTACAAACGAGGTATAACTTTAAGCGCATTTTAGAGACTTTTTGCTCTACTTACAGCTAGAAAATTACAGCACCTGAACTTTCTCTGTTGGCAAATACCCAGATAGGGAAATTTAGTTATTTCTTATCTTTTTAAAAATATATATATTATGACACTGCAGAATCATAAAATTTGAATTAACACTTCAAGTGCATATTATATCACTTATTATAAGATTAAATCTTTTTTTAGACATAACTGATTAATCACACTAAACGAATTTAGGTTAACCCGTTTTTATATTAACAGTATTGTTAAATCAAAGGATCGAATAAATTCGACAATCATCGTGCAGTATTCGGCTAATTTCGATTATTTATACACTCGGAATACTTCGTATGAACTCGGAATACTTCGTATTATAGATTCGCCCGACTTCGTAAATTTTGTTTAAATTCGGCTCACATTGCAGCTTACTTTTTATGATAACTTCGGCCATTTTCGTGTTAAACCGGTCAACTTGATTCATTCAGATGGTAATACTTTTGTGGTCCGTGGTCACATCAGCACTTGAACTTGAATACTTTGCAATTAAAGTTTTAATCCTTTGATGATTTCTAGTTTGAACTCTACAATTTTCTTTTGTTTGATCATTATTATAGCAAATATATCCGATTTAAACATTTAGAGATTTAAAAACTATACTTTGTTCTGTTTGATAATTATCACAGACATATATTTCTTACGTTTAAATTTGAACTCATTCATTTGATTGAGGCATGCTAGTCTTTCTACAAAAAATCAGTTAATAAGTGGAAAGTATAATGCATGTGCATTGGTGAAGCTCGAATGTTGAAATCTTATAAGTGGAGGTTATTGTATAATCACCATACAACAAATATATACTTTGTTATTAATTTTCTATGATAAATTTAAAAATATGCTTACCAGGTGAACACTAATATAAACCATCCGTGATATGACGGCCGCAAGAAAGTATTCTACATCATTTAATCCTGAAATGCAGTGTATCCATTGAAAATTGTCTAAATTTGATAAAACTCACTTGTAAGGCTTCTTTTATTCAAAATATGCCACAAGGCACATATATCATCGCATTTGTTCACAAAATATAGATCGGTGACCGATAGATAAAACAACGAGTTTTCCCGTGCGGTAATAAATAAACAAGCCAGACAAATTAAAAGCTGAACATAATCTTAAAGTAGATGTGAGATAACGTAAACGTGTCCTATATTCACCGAACAATAATAAACCGTCTAAACATCTTTACATAATACTTCAAATATGACACTTTCATAGTTTTGTCATCAATAAATTTTATGAGAAAATTAAAAGATCCCAGCAAGTATAAATTTCGTATATAAATTTCGTTTAAATTATTTACACACAACACTCGATATTGTATCTTATTTACACGACAAATGACATGATGATGTATGAGTGAAATTATTCTCCTACAATGACTTGTTACCTGGATCTGACATTTATAATGACAAGTGTCGACTTCACATCCGCCATATTAATATTTACTAGGTCATGTGACACACAAACGATTATGATTTCTATTTTTAGCTTCATTAAAATATTATATACTTCAGTACTTATCATAACAGTAATATGCGCTTATAATTCATTGCGATATTTTTGCATTTATTCGATATTTTTCACCTATACTTCGTCACGTGAAAAAATAACTTATACTTCATTTCAATATTTATTATATTTTAGCAATTTATATTCAATGCAATTTGTTTACTTACACTTCATTATAGTAATATAAGATCATATTTCATAATAATGTTCTATTCAATATTTTGCACCTTTACTTCTTAACCATTTCATATATTATGAGCTTATACTTCATTACACTTCTTTGCAATTTACCTTCAAATTCCGTATTTTGCAACTGTACTTCACATGCTACAATATAATGCGCCTTATTTATACTTCATACTTCATTACACCATTTTCCAATTTATCTTCAAATTTAGTATTATGCACCCATATAATTCATTACAGTATTATAAAACATTGTAATTTATCTCAAATTCAGTATAATGCACATATCTGCGGTGAAACATCAAGTTTAATCATTTTTTTTTGTAAAAAGAAGATACTTAAATTTACTTCAACAATAAATAACTCATCACTTATCTGTCGCGTGTTCAAAGCAATAAAATACATACGATAGTGATTAATAAGTAATAATATATTGAATCGTATTACCTTTCTACAGTTATAATAGATATATTTATCCTTTTATGTTGCGGTCAGTTTAACCTGACTAATACACGAGTTGGTTCACTGTTGAAAAAGAAACGAAACAAGAAAAGATCGAACTATTTATCTTTATCAGTGTCCCAGTCAGTTGAGCCAGGGTTCAATAAATTCATAAAACCCTTAAGGTAAATCATAAACGCGGTCAAACTTTGTGTTTGTTTACTTATCGAATTATCTTAATGCAGGGGTTTATTTAAAGCGTGCACTGGTGCAGTTGAAAGTTATTTAAGGTATAATGGGGGAATCAGTGCGGAAAAATCGCGTAGAAGCGTTAAATTTTTGTTGATAAGCGTAAGTTTTGTACTGACACTGGTCTTTACATTGAAAATGGGTCTGGAATAGCATAGTTTTCAGCTTCTTAAGTTACAAAAAATGATTCAATCAATCAATCAATCAATCAATCAATCAAATCAAATCAAATCAAATCAAATCAAATTTTATTTTTCTTCTATAAAGTCGCATCATTAACATAGCAAAAATAGAGGTAAATATTCCTTCATCATGCATCAGCATGATAATAGTGGGTATTCTTCAAGGTGCAGGTCTGTATGTAGTGTATGCTTCATAAGGGTACAAAATGCAGCTTTCGCTGTCGAGTACGGACCCCGGACATGTCACCAGTCATGCCCTTAAAGAGTTAATTTTGAAGCACAAAGTGGTGATAATTTACCTCCATGCAATTTCCACGAGGTCTTAGCCAAAGATATGAATTTTGAGCCAAAAGTAGGTCACTGTACGGCGGTAAATGAGAACCTAAATGTACAGTAACCTGTGACAATATGAAAGGGTAGCCCTGAAAAGGGCTGTTGGTGCCAGCAAAAGACCTGCCGTTCAAGGCGTCTAACCGTGCTAGGGCTCACGCATCCTAGCACACCATCCTCGTCGACAAAAGGCCTACTTTGTACGGCCATTCCTCTCGGCTTTAGTCAGGACACCGGCAGCTAACTTCATGCAAGCTAAGTCTGCGCCCTCGAGCTGTAGAAAACATGCGAATTTGCCGTCTAACACGTAGCATTGGTTCTTTAATTATTTGCCGATGCCCTGTGTCTTCTCAACGACGTACACATACCGAGGGGAAGAGAGAAGTTTCGAGGTGCTGGATTATTATCTGCGCTATTAAAATTGGCCTGCTGTTCGCCTGAATATATTTGAGCCGTGTCACGACAAAACCAACATAATGGGTTTGCGACCAGCATGGATCCAGACCAGCCTGTGCATCCGCGCACTCTGATCAGGATCCATGCTGTTCGCTTACAACCCCTATTACAAGTAGAGAATATGATGCGCAGGCTGGTCTGGATCCATGCTGGTCGCAAACCCATTATGTTGGTTTTGTCGTGACGCGGCTCATCTAATTATTGAATACATCTTTAAAAAGATATTTGCAACGTTTTAATGACAGGTTAAAAAAATCCAGCAACTTTGCTTCTGTCATTTGCAGCATGCTAGGTAATTTAATTTGTAATTAAAGATCTGCATGTGAAGAAATGTCGTAATTAAGTTAAACAATTATTCCACAAAAGGGGATTCAAACTAATAAATTTTATCTTAAATCAACGAGTTTATTACATCAATCTTAAAGGTAAAGATGCTATATAATGCCCTGTCCAATGGATCATCATCGTCATCATCATTATCATCATCATTATCGTCATCATCATCATCATTACGATTATTACTATTGTGGTTAGTTTCAAACCAAGGCTTGGCATCAGAAAGTGGAGAAAAAAAAACAAAAAATAAAACCACATAACAAAAAAAACAAAAAAACAACAACATCACTTAACGACTATATAGATATCATATTCCGCTAGTTTACGTCTCTGTTTAAGGTTTTGTCTAATTAATGCCATAATTATCGCCATTAACAACTCATATTCCATACTTAATGTCTATCTAATCATTAACCAATGAGTAATGTAATTAAAAGATACCGTGTGTCGCAAAATATTCCTACTCACATTTCTGTTACGTATAGATTTTGCTTCTTTCAATTTTCTTACCATTCTACTTGTTATAGATTAAAGAAAACATCGGTACAGCAATGCTGTATGGAAATCATTTATGATTTACACTTTTAGCCCACCGATCTAATTGAAAATGGAAATGGTGAAGTCAAAATAACTTAAATTACTATATGCTCAAATAATTAATAATCCATGTGACCCACATACATATCTATAAATACTGTTCGGAATGTACCGTTAACGCCACATTTTATCAGAAAGAAACGTTTGAATGAGAGGGTCTCATAATTCCATAATTCTGAATGTTTGAACTTTGTTAAAAAATAGGTGTATTTTCATTCAAAAGCTT